AAAAAAAAAAAGAAAAGGAGTAAATTATAAAGTTCTTGGCGATACATCATTATGGCGACTGCTAAACATTAACTGAGCAGTTAGCATGATAACAACCACTACAATAATAATTACTACCATTTATTATTTATTACGTACAATGTTTTATTTGATATTTTCAAAAACACTGTGAGGGGGTTATAATCATGTTCACTTTGCATATTCACTAACAGAAATTTAGTAACTTACTCAAGGTCACATGGTCAGGAAGTGGCAAAACCAGAATTCAAACTCAGGTTTGTATCACTCCAAAGTCCAGCATCTTAGTCATTAGGCTATTACTGTCTACCAAGGTAGTGCAAGACACTGAGAGATTTAAGTCTTTCCCATCATGGGGTTATGTTCTCCTAATGCAGGTGGATAAATGGACAGTAAATGATAATATAATGGAACATGTACAGCTGTCACCTGATGAATGGGAGTATAGCCAATTAATGCCAGCGGGGGCAACAGGAAGGCTTAAAAGGAAGTGGTTTGGGCTCAGGTTAGGGACAACGCTGGTAGAGCAATTTCTCATGTCACTAAGATGCTAGCAGCATGGACAGCATACGTAAGAAACAACAACAAAAATTTTAGACTAGACCTTTTGGGTTAATGCAGATGAAGTTAGGAGCTTCATAAAGGTCACATTTCAAAGAATCTTAGATTTGGGACTGAACAGTTAAGTAGTGTGCAAGACACAAGGAATTGGGGCAGAACGGGAAGGAGGGAGACCAGTTGGACTGCAGCAGTGGTCTAGAAGACATGAGTCTTGGGACTAAAGTAGTAACATAACAGTGGAAAACAGAAAGGAAGGGTGGTTATTGAAAAAATTGTAGTTATGAGCCAGAGATGAACTATACACTGGAGGAGAAGAATAAGAGTCATGAATGATTCCAAGATCTTACAAAACTGAGATCTAGAGAAGTAGGGATTGGCTTGGTTCCCATAGCTCAGTGGCTGGGGCACCAGGCACTTACACCGGAACTGGCAGATTCAAATCCAGCCTGGGGCTGCCAAACAACAATGACAACTACAACCAAAAAATAGCTGGGCATTGGGGCGGGCGCCTGTAGTCCCAGCTACTTGGGAGGCTGAGGCAGGAGAATGGCTTAAACCCAGGAGTTGGAGGTTGCTGTGAGCTGTGATGCCACGGCATTCAACCCAGGGGGATAGCTTGAGACTCTGCCTCAGAAGAAAAGGAGGGATAAGAATGACAGAATAGGAGCTGCTTTGGGTAGAATGATGATAAGTTTGCTCCTATTTTAAGTAACATTTATGCAAGCAGATATAAGAGGATATATTCCAATGACCTAACTATAAATACACCACTGAAAGGGGAGAAACTGTTTTCTTATAAAAAGGATCAAAACTGGTATACGGGAATCTCCAGGAAAAGCAAATGAAAACATAAAAATCAGTATCATACATAAAAATTTAACTGCCAATCTTTAAATAAAACCCAGTCATTTACAACCCACATAATTATTA